TGCTTAATAACACCCCCCTGCCTGTTGTGCCATGCGTAATGGCACATCCCCGTCCCTGGAGAAAACATACCTGTTTTCCTGACGGGGTGAAGGCTGGAAACAATACATACCGACCGCTGTGAGAAAGTAGAGACGAAGGTCGCACCTTGTCCTGCGATCATAGAGGGGGAACAGCCGCTCTCTCCGTGTCAGCCAGGTAGGAGAGCTCTCAGCTGGATCCCTGACGTCACTCACTCTGACCAGGCACTCCCTACGAAGTGTGTCAGAGGAAGGGGAACGTCCCTCTCCTACGAGGGGAAAAAGGGCCGCTCTCTGTGTGCGGCGAGGCAGGAGAGAGGCGCACAGCTGGATCCCTGACGTCACTCACTCTGACAGGACACGCAGTACAGGGCGTGTCAGCGAGGAAAGGGAGACATCCCTCAAATAAAATTGAATAAATGAACAGGGGGAAGACCAAGATGCAGCCGTGCAAATATCTTCCACTGACATTCCTCCACGCAACACCGAGGAGGAGGAAATTCCTCTGGTTGAGTGCGCTTTGATATTCTCCGGGGGTTCCACCCCAGAGGAGACATATGCCTGTGACACAGCCTCACACAGCCAGTGTGACAGCCGTTGTGTAGACAGAGGTTTGCCCGATCGAGCGCTCTCTGTAATGCACAAACAGGCGCTGAGAACGGCGCAATGCCGTCGTGCGCGCTACATAGCAGACAGCGCGCGCACCGGGCAGAGGAGATGAGATGTTTCTTCTTCCTCCGACCTCTTGCATCCCATGGAACTGCTGGGGGGAGAGGCTTCTCTGTGATGTGCCGTAATGGTCGTCATGGTGATGTGCCACGCCCTCGCCACTGCTGCCCGTGAAGCAAAAAAGCTGCGAGGGAGTTTCCACACGCTGCATTCCACTCTGTCTCTCATCATGAGGCGCGTACACGCCCAGAGGATGAGAGGTGTGTGTATGCTGTCCTCATGAGGCGTTATAACAGTGCTCGTGGATTTATTATGACCATGTGTAAGGCATATCTGGGACAGAGGAATGCCTCGAGCTCTGCAGTTTATAAACCAATAGGTTAAAACAGCAGGCTTCTGCAGTGAATGAAGCCCCTCTGGAGACTCCCCCTGTGGGGGAGACCCAGGGGAATCCCCCCCGTGACCAGCTGACGCTAATGCCGAGCAGCTGCGTTACGGAGAGGGCTGTGTGGTTTGTGACACGCCGGAGGAGAGCTGTCAGTTTCTCACTCGCTGCCAGAGAGCGCTCTGCTGCTGGCTGAGTTTTTAATTCCACTTCAGATAACGTTTGTCTGAGAGGGAAGGGAACAGCTCTTCTTCCAATTTATTATGAAACCCATGGCTTTGACAGATGCGATATGAGATGTACCAGTCTGTAAGCGACTTCCTCCCTGGAGCGAGCCAGCAACTAGCAGGTCGTCCAAAGGAAACCACCCTCTCATCCTCCTCTGTGTAGCGGCTCCAGCCTTCTCTACACAAAAATGGGAGGAGCCAGGAAATATCCAAACGGCAGACGATTGTCTGGTCTGATATTCCCTGAAATGAGAAACCGCAGGAATTTCCTGTGTTTCGGGATGATGGGTACGTGGAAGTATGCATCCTTCAGGTGGAAGTGAACCAGTCATCCTGGTGAACACATTCCAGCCCCTGTCTCATTGCCCCAGTCTTTTTCGGGATTAGAAAAATAACGGGAGTGAAAACCCCTGATTTTCCTCCCTTTGAGGAAACCTGGAAATATCCTCTTTCAACAGGAGTTCCAGCAGCTCGGATTTGGAGCGCAAGACATAGCTTCTGGGAGGACAGGAGTGTTTCCTGTATCCCATTGAACTGTGGGGGGCTTTTTCGTCACCATGCTGCGGGGTGTGACACGTCGAAGGAGAGCTGTCAGCGTGTCCACTCCACTTTCTGCCGTGAGAGTCGTCCTCTCATGCGGGCTGAGTTCAATTCCACCCAGGTAAACAATACTCTGGGCTGGAATAGGACAGCTCTTTTCCCAATTTATCATGAAACCCAGCTTTGACAGATACGATATGAGTTGTACCGTCTGTAAAGTCGCTTCCTCCCTGGAGCGAGCCATGCAGCAGCAGGTCGTCCAGGTAAAAATAGTACTCTCATCCCTCCTCTGTGTAGCGGCTGCCACGCCGTCTCTACACACTTTGAAAAAGTACGAGGAGCCAGGGAATAGCCGAACGGCAGACGGTTGTACTGGTACGCTATTCCCTGGAATGAAAACCGCAGGAATTTCCTGTGTTGCGGAATGATGGGTACATGGAAGTATGCATCCTTTAGGTCTATAGAGGTGAACCAATCTCCCTGGTGAACACACTCTAGCACCTTTTTGACCGTCAGCATGTGAAACAGGTCGAGGATGGGTCTCATTCCCCGTCTTTTTCGAGATAAGAAAATAGCGGGAGTAATACCCCTGATTTTCTTCCTCCTGGGGAACCCTGGAAATAGCCTCTTTCAACAGGAGTTCCCGTAGCTCTGCTTGGAGCGCAAGACACTGTTCACGGGATGTTAGGCATGTCACCTGTATCCCGTTTGAACTGTGGGGGGGGAGGCGAACCTGCAGGGTGTACCCTCTGCTGATCAGCCTGTTCATCCATCTGTCCATCAAACACATGCGCTGCCACACTGAGAAACACTCGGACCAGCGGTGCGCGCATGCTCGAGATGTGTTGTGGTTGTCATGACGATGAGCCACGCCAGAGCCCTCGCCGCCGCTGCCCGTGAGGCAACCCAAGGTGGGCCTAGAGCGAAATGGCTGTGCGGAGGCCTCCACACGCTGCCGTATCACTCCGCCCTCGCATCATGAGGCGTGTACACGCTCAGAGGATGGGTGGAGTGGTGTGCAGTAATATCCACATGAGGCGTTAACACTGCGCTCCTGGGCTTATTATGACCGTGTATAGGTGGCGTATCTCGGGACAGAAGAATGCCGCGAGGTCTGTGGTTTAATAACCGAAGAGTCATAAACCATCAGATCCCTGCAGCGAACCCTGCTGCCTTACTAATCACCAGATTGAAGGCAGCTGGTGTAATTACTGTGCTCCGCAGCTTATTAATCGATAGATTAAATAGCGCAGGCTTTTGTACCGAACCCGGCTGGCTATTAACCGATAGGTCATGGCAGCTGGCTCACCGGCCAGAGTGGGGGATATGTGAAACACATTGAAACTGATGACTCAGCCAACATGTTGGGGAAATAATCTTCTTTTATTTTCCTCACACTGTCTCCCCCAACCGTCAAGGCCGCTCTGCTTCCTCGGCGGCTCTCATGGAGCAGACGCCGAACGGGAGTACCTCACTCCCTTTTTACCCCCCCTCTCCTGGTGGGGGGGCGGAGGCCCCCGTGAGGCAACCCAAGGTGGGCCTAGCGAAAAGGCTGTGAGGAGGCCTCCACACGTTGCATTCACTCCGCCTCTCATCATGATGCGCGTACACGCTCAGAGGATGGGTGGAGGTGTGTGCAGTGATAACCACATGAGGCGTTACCACGGCGCTCATGGCTTATTGTCACCGTGTGTAGGTGGCGTATCTCGGATAGAGGAATGCCGCGAGGTCTGTGGTTTAATAACCGAAAGTTATAACCACCAGAACCCTGCAGCGAACCATGCTGCCTACTAATCACCAGATTGAAGGCAGCTGGTGTAGTTACCTGTGCTCCCGCAGCTTATTAATCGATAGATTAAAATGCGCAGGCTTTTGTAACGAATCCTGCTGGCTATTAACCGATAGCGTCATAGGCAGCTGGTTTACCCAGAGTGGGGGATATGTGAAACACATTTGAAAACTGATGACTCAGCCAACATGTTGGAAAATAAGCTTCTTTTTATTTTCCTCACACTCTCCCCTCCCAAACCGTCAAGGCCGCTCTGTTCTCCTCGGCGGCTCTCATGGAGCAGACGCCGGTGCCCCGGCCGCCGCTGACGGACGATTCTGACGCCTCGGCTGCTGTTGCTGCTGGTGTCTGTCCGTCTGCCGCTGTGGCCGGTTGGCTGCTGGTGTCGCTGCTGCTTCAACCGCTGGCTGTCCTCGCCTGGGACACCGCCACGGGCTGCGCACAGCGACGGTGGTTTGTTCTGGATGGGCTCCTGCCCACCCCAGACGTCTTCCTCACCCGCAAGCAGCTAGAGCGTCCGCCTTCGCTTCCTGTTCGGATGAAGGAAGACGCACATAGTGAGGACATGCGACCTGCTGGCTGAGAGCCGCGTCCGCGTGCTCTGGCCCCAGACAGGCTGCGCATATTGGATGCAAATCGTAGCTCATAATGTAGCCCGTATTGCACGAAGGGCAAATACGGACACACTCTTTATTGCTCATGATGTTGCTTTTCTCGTGCTTCAGTAAACTGCTGGTTGCTGAAGAAAAGAGGGAGCAGATCGCCGGGCAACCTCCCTATTTATACCGGAAGGAGGCCCGATAGTAAACCCAATAGCGATAGCCTTAGAGGGCGAAGCCATAAACGAAATAGAACTGACTCTGCCACTGGAGAGACACGGCTATCCACACACATTCTCACCACTTAAATAATTGTCAAACAAGTTGATTTTGTATCCGTATTAAAACCTAAGATGCTACAAAAGTTAAATTTGAGTTTTAAAAAAAAATGTGATCACTTTACACACATGTGGTAAACACAGAACAACAATATACTGAATGTCAATTAGGACATTTTATTTTCCTGTATCCAAATACTTTTGGTAGTATTTGACAGACTTCTGGAGATATAGATGTTAATTGATTTTGCATATCTAAAAGAATATAGAGTGACGCATTTCCGAATCAATCATAGGCTGCAGTTATGCAAACTAAGCAATACCAATTAAACACCCATATTGTTTTTTAACTATAGTCCCTGAAAAGATACAAATCTAAAAACAAAAAAGCAATTCCAGAGGGACAATTTTTTTTTGTGAAGTCCTTTAGGCAATAAACAACCGGTTTCTATTGTTTTTTAATTAAAAACTGTCTTTCTTTTATTCCGCTTTCAGCCTCTGAGACGTTTCCCCTTCGATGCTGCCATCATCTTCTCTGACATCCTGGTTATCCCACAGGTAACGTTATCAGGACTCATTCATTAACATGTTGACATTACATCTATTTCTGTGATATCAAGAGGAAGTGGCATAATAACATTGAACATTATATTCAGGGGTGCACATAACTTTTTTGCCCTGGTTCTCAAAGGAGCACCTGGAGATGTTGCTTGGTGCTCATCCTTAAAATGAAATAAACCGTAACTTTTGAGGGGGTCTTGACTTTATTGCCCAGACACACGGCAACTGAAACACACATGCAGAGGTGAACACAGAACACACATGCAGAGGTGAACACAAGACAACATTTAGCACGACCAGTAATCCTACAAGCTGTCATCACTGTTCTCCTCACTGTCTTCCTCTCTGTCAGACATGGTAGCTGATGATGTAGGCTACTTCTTTCTCTCTGGTTGAGTCTGTGATTAGCTGCTTGCATCCACAAGTCAACAGCTGGGTTTGTGGTCGAAAGTCTCTGTTGTCATCTTAGACAAGTGGATGTAATCAAAATAAGTATGTGAACATAACCAATAACCTACCATAGCCAATCAACAAATGAATGTAACTTATTTTATTTGTGTTGTTCATTCATATCTTATTTTACCTTAACATTTATTTATTTATGCATTTTATTTTTTAATCTCCAGTTTTAAAGGATAATTTGGTTACTTTCCTATACTGTAGTATACATTGGAATGATTTCACACCTGACCTGTTTATCCCAATAATTATAAAGGAGTGCCTTGGAAATATGTGTTTACATAAATTGTGACCAAAACTGTTTGAACTTAGACTAAAGTGAACTATCTAAACACTCAAGAGTCCTTTACCTCACTGAGCTTGTAGTATCAGCCTCTCAGTCTGACTGGAGAGGACTCTCCCTCCACATCATTGTAGAAGAAACATCTTCTTCTTCTTACATCCGTTAGAGCAGCTAGCAACAGATTCTAATAACCAACAGCGCCCGGTACCGGGTGGGGCGCCCTTCTCTCTCTCCACGCTCACTCGCCACGTTAGCTGTGAGCTGTGGGCGCCAGATAAGCCAACATCCCCCATTTTCATCACTTACAGCGCCCATCGTACAGGGCAAAAATAAACGTGTAACCGGGGTGAAAAGGGTGTTACATTTACTTAATTATGAATGTTGTTACAATCAGGCCGAAAATTAGGATAGGCACCAACGGTCAAAAATGTTTTTTTCCCTCCCAAGAACTGTCAGCGCAGCGCCTCCACAGATCTGGCGCCCGAGGCGAACATCTATAACGCCAGTGCTACGGGCCGACTGAGTTCCTATGCAACTCGCAAATATATTTTTCTCTCTCCTCTCTCCTCTCTTTTCTCTTCTCTCTCTCCCTCTCTCTCTCTCAATGTTGGTGCGCAATGCGCCTTTTTTCAAATTAACCACCGGTGCTCTTTTTTTGGCGGAGGTGCGCATGCAGGGGTTATTGCCTTTTGAGAGGTTTTAGCTTTTCTCGTAGACACCAGTGTCTTATATTTACATACATTCCGCCTTACATTAAAACGTTTTTAAACATCTTAAAGATATCCCCCTCAGTAGCACAAGAACAACTCGGGCAATAGAGGACATTTTAAAGTGGAAATGCTCAATGAATTTGCGTGTCATCCATAATCTTCTCTATCGATTCCAATTTGTCATATGAGCTGCCTGAGCGAGCACATTGATACTGAGGCTCTGCCCCTTGCTGGGGGAATGGCCCCTTTACTGCGGTACAGGCTAATAGTACACAATCCTTGGTAGGAAATACTCTTAAACTTTACAAACAGATAAGTGTAAGGTCTTTCTCTTGGTGACTCCAATTTTCTTGGTAATGAGTACAACCATCAGCTATTTCTGCATGCACATTTATGCAATTTTATTCAACAAAAAGGACAAGGCTCTTAGCAAATTCAGACTACACACAAAACGGGACAACTTTGAGCATCCTTGACTGAGCCTGAGCATCTCTCGGTGTAATCAGGTTCTATGGTAAGCTTCTCTATGCAAAAGTCTTCATGTGAAATTGGTTTTCCTGAGACAATACCACCTTTGCTTACCTCCATCTTTGATAACCAATAGGGCACGCCAAGCAGAGGACCCATTAGAGCAGATTTGGACTTGTGTCACATGAATTAGGTCAGATTCCTTCATTTTTGTAGCTAGCTTGAAAAACTTGAGCACACAGGGAATCTATGCTTCACATGCCTCTACAATCCCCTTTTAGTTACACAAGAACAACTCGGAGGTTCAAAAGTGGAAACGCTTACAGCGGTTCAGGCTTAGAAGTAAGCAATCCTGGTATGCAGTATTCTTAAACTTTACAAAAGCGTAATAAGTGTAAGGTATTGATTTATTTTTTTGACACCAATCTCTTCGCATTAGTCCTGTCCTGATTACTTTTGTCTGCACATTTCTGCAATTTGAATTACAACAACAACAAGGCCAAAACTGCCCTAACAGGATTTTAAATCCTCATCAGTTACTCAAACAGTGTTACCTGCTCACCTGTGTGCCATTGGCTTGTATAAAGTATGGAATTAGCTAGGTTCAGTAGAAACCCGTAGATGAGGAATATATTTCCAGAGTTCTACAGCCATAAAATAAATAGCAGCCATTACTCATATCTCTGTCCCATCCATTTTCCCCCTCCCAGGCCTTAGGTATGGATGTCCAGATGGTGCCAGGTAAAGGTCCAACATTCCCAGACCCTCTGAAGGAGCCAGAGGACCTGCAGCGGCTGCAACCTAAAGTGGACGTGGAGAAGGAACTGGGTTATGTCTTCAAAGCCATCACACTGACCAGACACAAGATCGATGGCAAAGTGCCGCTCATTGGTTCACCGGAGCGCCGGTTTAGTGATCATACAGACAGTTAAAAGCCGGCATAGGTATTTCTGGAAGTAAACATGAAAATGAAATCAAAAGTATTGTGATTCTTACTCTCTCTGTGTGGTGTGCCTACACAGTGGACGCTGATGTCCTACATGATAGAAGGCGGAGGCTCCAACACCCACTCGAAGGCGAAGCGCTGGCTGTACCGACACCCTCAGGCCAGCCACATGCTGCTGAAGATGCTGACGGATGTGATAGTGGAGTATCTGCTGGGGCAGGTGGCGGCTGGAGCGCAGGTTAGACCTCCTACCGCTTTATCTCTGGAGCCGTGTTTACAATATGTGCCACTGCCATTACGCATTACAATTTAGGGTGGTCACAAAAGGAGGCAAACAGTTGTTGTACTTCGTCCCACAAAATCTGTAAATCTAGATTATTTTAAATAACGATACTTCTGGTCCTCTGCTGTTTGTTGTGCAGGCTCTGCAGGTGTTCGAGTCTCACGCCGGCATTTTGGGGCCCGTGGAGGTTTAATGAGTTCTCTCTGCCTTACCTTCGAGACATTGCTCGCCGCGTCAAAGAGAAACTCAAGGAGACAGCAAAAGACATTCCCATGGTAAGCTGCAAACATTAACATTGAAATATATCAATATGCGAGTAAGACCTCCTGCTGTAATAATATCTCACACATGTATTCCTCTGGACAGTGTCAGTAGATAATGATAAACGCTATAACTGTGACAACTCTATTTATATACTTATTTTCCCTGCTGTATTATTTAGTCTGTTCTCTTGTCACAATAGCTTTCTATATTAGTTGCAATACTCTGTTCTATTCTTACCATAAGTCTGTTGCTTCAACAACACGGTTTCCCAGGAGGCATCATTAACGATTCATCTGCTCTGTAATAAGTGAAATGTCCTGTTCATTACCAGAAGAGGGCAGCATTTCACCAAAATGGAGAATAACGAGTCCTGCAAAAAGTTGTTAGTTGATAATCTCCTCTATCTAACTCTCTGTTTGTTTTCAGATTGTGTTTGCAAAGGATGCTCATTACGGTTTGGAGGATCTGTCTCAATCTCATTATGATGTGGTCGGGCTGGACTGGACCGTTGACCCAAGAGCAGCACGGTATGCACACACCACACACACACACACACACATACACACTGCAGTAATCTGCGTCTTTTAACTCCAGTGCCCCTTAGCTTTTTCAAACTAGTAATTCAATCTGAGTTCCAACCAAAACTAGCTTTTCTGCATGTGTTTCAGATTCAGAGTCTACAGAGATATATATAGAATGTGATCATGAATACGTCTGTCTGTAAATTAGGACAGAGTTATTATGAGGTTTAAATGGACTGGGTTCAACCAGTGTGGTGAGAACTGTTTCCTTTCTTTGTTAGCTTTGGTAGAAAAATAGAGTTAGAAAGTCTAAAGACATATTGATGGAATGTGATCATGAATACGTCTGTCTATGCATGAAGTCCTAAATAATACAGCTTCAGCCTCAAAGTCCTCTGTCATGGTGAGACAGCAAAACACAAATCTTAAAGCTAAGTTCATCTCAGCCAGTCTCTGCAGATATCGTACACCATGCTGGAGTCTTTCCTGAGGAGCAGGTTAACCATTGGGTGAACCTCTTCGCCCGTCCCTGTTCGTCACCGGTTGCAGGATTTATGTCAACAAACGTCTGTTTTCCTGCTCCGCTCATCAAATACTTAACCTGTTGGTAATGTGTGTGTGTGTGTGTGTGTGATCTGTTTACAACAGTCACGTATGGGGACAAAATGGAGGTCCCCATGAGGGGAATCATTAATTTTAGGGTGAAGACTTGGTTAGGGTTAGGCATGTGTTGGTTATGGTTAGGAATAAGTCTCCAGGAAATGCATGTAAGTCAATGTAATGTCCCATGAAGTGATGTATACATGTTGTGTGTATTTATTCAGGGAGCGCACAGGAGGGAAGGTCAGCCTGCAGGGAAACATGGACCCTTGTGCTCTCTACGCTCCCAAGGTAACCCCCACCCCCACTCGGTGTCTCATTGACAGAGCTAACTGTTTTATGACTTTAGTTTGAAAAGACAAACACAGTAACACTGCAGTCCCTCTGAAAGGAGATACTTAAAGGCATTGCATTAAATGAATGTAAGCAATAACAGAGTTAAACACCGATATAAGACATACAGTAAATATACAAATATTACAGTGAATGAATTAGTATAAAATATATATTTCAGGAGCAACTCAGAAAAAAAGGGTCGTGTCATCATCCTGCTCTTTCTCCTAATGAATGTATCGTGTTACTCTGGCAAAACACCAATCTTTGGTCCTTATGCAAATACATGTTTGTATTTTCAAATGTTTATACTTTTTTGTAATGTTTGTCTGTATGAGTGTTCTAAAACCAGGTTCCCCAAGCTCTCCCACATCAACAAACTAAAATGCTTATGTCAGCCTGCTAAATGTCACCAGTTTATTTCACCCAAAAAAGTATGACCACACTGGGGGGCTTCCAGTCCTGCTGTGGGAGATGTGTCAAACAAAAGTAGCAGAGTTCGTAGTATTACATTTAAATATAATAATAATTATAATGCAAGTGTCATGAAGCGATAAAGATGGAATGATTTGACATAAAGATGGCTGCTATGTCTTTCTAAAGAAAAGCAGTCATGATATGCTCAGTGTAAATGTGACAGGTATTAGAGGAGAGGATAGCCTACAGTAGGTGATGATACACTGTTATGTCCAAGAGAGGATGAAACTTGACAGAGCTGCATAATGACATAACAAAATAATCTCTATAGCAGCAGCTGGGTTGTAATAGACTTCATGCTTCAATCGTGTTTGTCAGATAGTTTACAGATTTCTGTCTTCACGTCAACTTGTATATTTTCTACTGTTAATTATGTTTTATTTCTATTTTTTTAAATGCTTCTAATTTATAATTGTTTATTTTCTATTCTTTTTAATTTTCCAATCGCCTTGTTTTTTATGCTGATGTAACAAAAACATGTCCCAACTTGGGATGAATAAAATATATCTTATTTCGTCTTATACCAAAAAACGAATAAAGTAAAAATTGGCAATCCAAGATGATGAAAATATGCAGTATTATGATTATTCTTGAGTTTTCTCTTTTTTAAGATCTAAAAAGAGCGTTCTTTATAATATGTCATAAAACATGCATAACTGAGGTCTGTCTGTATAGGGTTCAGCGTTAATTGCCCATTTATGGATCCAGAGTAGAATCCTATTGTTGTTTTGTGATAAAACATGAAAATAACAAAACCCTGTTTGTCTTCTAAACATTTTCTCAAGTTTCATCGGCTGCTATTGTCAGCACCTGCCTACATGCTGTGAATCCTATTTATATGCTGTCATTGATCCTGAAAAACTTCTGTTAACAAATAACTCGTCACTAGAAGTTCCTAAACTTGCTCCTCTTCCAAAGAATATCTCAACTGTTACAGATATTCTCCAGCTGGGGTTGAATCACGTCTGATTTTAAAATCCCCCTTCCTCCTTCTCTTCATCAGGAGCACATTTCAAAGATTGTGAAGAAGATGCTGGAGGGTTTCGGGACGAGGGGCTACATCGCCAACCTGGGCCACGGCCTCTACCCCGACATGGACCCCGAGAACGTGGGGGCCTTCGTGGAAGCTGTGCACACACACTCTAAACAGATAAACAAACGGATGTAAAGGTGGATGTCTGTGTGACGGAGTGTGTAAGCCAATACCGTATTACTTAATTAAAAACAGTTTCAGCTTTATCTGTTGAGTAATCCATCTTGAGAGACTTTCATGGAGGGGAAATAAAAACAAATGAATAAAATAAACAAGATGTTGGTTTTCTATAACAAGATTTTCTGTTCTATGTTGATCTGACCAGGAGTGGATTATGTTTTTCTATTTGAAATGGCGGCAATCCATTTTGCATGTACGTTACACATGTCAGTTGGTTGGGATTTGAACTCATATTTGATTTATTTAAACATGTTCAAAACGGATTTGTCCTATGAAAGCTATTTCTTTGATATATTTGTTTCCATAATGTCACTCAAACAATTTGAGGCTACCCTTTATAAAAGCTGTAAACATCTTTTAATAAAAACTGAGTTCTTCATCACTAACAGTGGCTTCTTTGTCCTTTTGAAAGAAACACAAAAAGGATCCAAACTGCATTTAAAAACAAAAGGATTTGGAAGAGTTGTTTCAGCAGGAAATGCATTATTGCAGTTCTACCATATTTTGTGAGGGAAATGTCAGCGCACAGCGGGTTGATCTTTCCACCATCGAACATCTTCACAGTAAACAAAGTGCCCCGCTGGATCCCAGCACGAAAAGCTTTATATTTGCTCCCGCAGATCTTTTAAGAAATGCAAGTTGTGTAAGGAAATGCCTTGTGCTGTCTTTGTTTTTCAGCCAAATCAGTTTTTTTCTCAACTTTTGTCTTAGAGGCTGCATGTGATTGCATTTCTCCAGATTATTGAAACCCATAAATTTGTGTCTGGCTGTTTTTTGTTCTGTCCACTTTAATAGAGACTGACTTACATTTTGAGAAATGTATTGTCTTTTTTAAAGTGATTAGATTTTCTTTCCCCCAGGCTTTGAGAGGGATGGCTGTCGACTCCTCTTTGAGCTTAAACTGGGACAGATTGATTGAGGTTTTAATGCTCTGGGTACAACAAGGGTGATGAGTAACATTTGCAAGGACTTTTACTTGTAACAGAGTATTCCTACACTCTGTTACTTCTACTTTTACTCAAGGACAAGATCTGAGTACTTCCTCCACCTCTGGTCTGAAATCCTTCAAATGCTTTGTAGTGAAGGTCTTAATAAGTAAAAGCACAAGGTGACAACATGAAATATAGTAACTTGGATTTAAAACATATTTTCTTTCAAAAACAAAGATTGGAGGTTACTCTGTTACCAACAACAGTGAACTGAACGTTTGTGAGTTGCATTGCAGGTTTTGAAAAAATAATGTATTGAATCATTTAAATAAAAATAAAAACACGGCCGTTTCCATTTATCTTTTTTTAACTCTCCATTGTATGTTGCTTTTAGAGGACTCTCTCAAAAAGATTGTGTGCCCCTTGGAATACATATATTTTTTTGAAAATAGTGTTGAATGAGCAACCACCATAATTTCTCAACGATTCAAGCGGCTATACCTTGGTCTAAATATGTTTGGTAGTGTTGATTGTAATGCTATTTCTATAACTAAACCGATTCTCATTCAAAAATATATATGTTGCCTCTGATTTGACCTTCCATCTTCTCTAAGTTACAATTTTCAAATCCAAAAACCAACCTTTTACATTTGAAATATTTTGCTGCATGAATGTGGAAATCTGAGGGTTTTTTCAACTTGATCATCTGACTAACACCTCTAAAGTGCTACAGCACCAATGGGTAGCCATTACCTTAAAAAAGAATTACCGGTAAGCACTTGTAAATCTTCAAAGGTCATTTCCGCAAAAGCAGGAGAGTTAAAGTCTTGCATCATCTTCACCAATCACAACTCATTTGACCAAACCATTACCCGACAACCACCAATGAGATGCTGGACGAAAGCTGGGCCGGCAGCAACAGCCAATCACAAATGTTTTCTGTCTCAAAGTGGATCTAACAATTTAGTCAATATTGGGTAAATACAAAGCTGCAATTTATTACACAGAATTCGGCTGGCATTATTACTGTAATCATGACGGAAGCTCTTTACACGAGGAACTGGGAAAAAGTAATCAGTTAATCCTAAATTGTGTTTTTCTCTGTGAGCAGCTAAGAACGTCAGATAAGCAGATTCCGGTAAATCCGGTTGTTGTTGCGGATGTTGTTTTGAAGGATTCTAGCAAAACTCATAACATCATGTGACCAGGCTGGGGTTTCAGGGGATCCGCCCTCTCTATAGTGAGGAGGTCATGTTGTTGTCACTGCAGAGCTGGATACATGATCGCTGTCAATGCCTGTAGTACAGGCTGAATACATTTGAGTTCATTTGTATTATCATCATTTATTATTCAATATTTGATCAAACCTTTTTAGTTACTGAAGTTCTCCTTAGATTTACATATTTCCTTTTGATTTTCAAACTGCAATATATTTATTACTATCCAAAAACAGATACAAAAAAGAAGATAATATTTGACACTAAGTCATGGGGATGCAGTTCTCTGGCTATACCTAACACCTTGATTTAGATCATGAAGTGTTTTCCTTGATAAGTTAAAGATGGACTTCAATAACTGTTCAACATATTAATATCCTAATCAAATTACAGGCATTTTTGGGAGCTGACGTCCTATTTAAGTCCTTACTTGACAAAGGAGTTCTTCCCTTAAGTAAAGCTGTTTTGATTTCATACTCCATACTGTATTCCCCATGAAAAGACCAACCCCAACAAAGTCTGTCAATACTGTCGGACTTCACTTTTTAAAGGGATGCCTTTTGTTTGCTCGTCAGCACTGCAGGGACTTTTCTTCCCGGTAAGAGAGGGCTCCATGGTATATCCAGAGGTGGAAGAAGTACTCAGATCTTGTACTTGAGTACAAGTAGAAATACCAGAGTGTAGGAATACCATGTTAAAAGTAAAAGTACTGCCTTCAAAATGTTACTCAAGTAAAAGTTCTCATTATGCAGATTGGTCCATTTCAGAATAATATATATGATGTGTTTTATAAAGATTGATCATGAAAGTGTTCTCAAAGCTGGTAAAGGTGCAGCTAGTCTGAATGACGTTGTATACTGCAGGGTAGCTTGTGAATTTACTCCAGGTGGAACTAAAGTCTGATTTAACACTTGATTACATTTCACATCATTAATCCAAGTCTGTAAAGTAACTAAATGTACAAAATAAATGTAGTGGAGTAAAAGTACACAATTTACCTCTGAGGTGTAATGAAGTACAAAGTAGCATAACATGGAGATACTAAAGAAAAGTGCAAGTAGCTCAAAATGTTACATAGGCCTAAGTACAGTACTTGAGTAAATGTACTTATTTACTTCCCTCCTCTCTCTAACCAAATGGCAGTACCCAATATGCATCGGGGCATCGGTCGGTGCATTCATAGCTTTTAATAGTTTTTGGTCAACAATGGCGCTTTATGGTACAGAGAAATAAGGATTTTGTTGGCAGTAAGACACATGTTTTAAATTGCTAGCCTACAACCCTTCCCCTCAGGGACGTGCACAGGTACGGGCTAATGTTGCCCGGGCAACGGCCCTTTTGAACTTTTTGGCTGACCTGCCCCTCTGGAGAGAGCGAAAGTCTTTTTTTCTGTTGTGGCCGAATAAACATGATAAGCCCACAATTAGTATTGTAGATTCTCGCTGCAAACACACCTTGTCAGCGCTGTCATCTGCCCCCAGTCACGTGACTTTGTTTACAATCTGACAGCTGGAAAGCAAAGGGAAGCCCTCCGAGTCCGGTCCGGCCTCATATGGCTATGGTGATCATGTGCCTGCCTGGCTTTGGTGGCCAATCCTCGGGTCAATCTGTCCCCGGAAATGTTCCCGTTTTTAAATATGCTTAAATTGATTTTGAGTTTTCTCATGACAGTTAGAGTATAGGACAAACCAGGGGACTTTACTTCCTCTTGACACCGTCGGTTATTTACAAAAAAACACCTAAATATACTTGTTATTGTGCTTCTGTCTTTCTGTGTCTTTTCATCTGCTCCGTAAACTCCCTCACCGCCCTCTCACAGGAGAACACTTCACTGTCCCGCTTCATTGTAGGATTTCTGCCATGTCTCTACTTTAGTTTGACCATCTCTACTAAATAAATAAGTAATTAGATACCTTACCGTTACTGCGCTCATAAAGAATGATAAGAATAAGGCGTATTGAACTGGTTTAATTAATTAGTGAGTTTATTTAAGGCACAGCAGTTACAATGGTCAAACTACATTAAAACAGAATTGTCCGCATTTTGTCTTTCACTAGCATTAGATATGTTAATGAGATATGGACCGCCACATTTATTTCCCCCTGGTTTTCTTTTTTTTTTTTATAAAAAAAAAAGAGTTCTTACGTTTTCAGGGGGGAGGCCCTTTTTCTAGTTTAGAGCAATAGCCCCTCCAAATGTCTGTGCACGTCCCTGCTTCCCCTACAGTAAAGATGTACAAGGCTAGTATTAGCTGAGATATTCCACAACAGCTGAACAGTGTTTATCTTTATTGATTTGCCTGCTGAACATTTCAATCAAAGGGGAGAAATTAAATGTTGAATTCAGGCCTCAAAATAATGAAGACTGAGGAGAAGCAGGTGGGCCTGGGTGTTATTAATAAATACAAAATACACAAAGCAGCTGAATTAATGTCGATGATGGGAGAAGCAGTTCTTCCTCAAATGAAAGCGGCTTTCATTCATCTCTGTCCTTTGTGTTGTTGTAGTGCCATAAACACAGACGCACAAAGCGCTCACACAGATACACACACACACAAAGGCTTTTGTTGTGGCCCCCCTATTGCGTAAATGGCGGAGACAAATGAACAAAAATCACAGCTGATTTTCGACAGGTAAGACTGAAGAGGTTGGGGCGGTGTGTCAGTGGGCCATCTGGGAACAGTGTGTGTGTGTGTGTGTGTGTGTGTGTGTGTGTGTGTGTGTGTGTGTGTATGTGTATGTGTATGTATGTGTGTGTGTGTGTGTATGTGTGTGTGTGTGTGTGTGTGTGTGTGTGTGTGTGTGTGTGTGTGTGTGTGTGTGTGTGTGTGTGTGTGTGTGTGTGTGTGTGTGTGTGTGTGTGTGTGAGTGTGAGTGTGAGTGTGTGAAGACAGAGAGAGAGATTGTAACAATGAATATATGCTCTTTAGAAATGGAGATCAATTTCCACATGGATGCCTAAAAGGATTTGGCAGGAGATTGATATTTAAGTGTGTGTTTCTGTTTGTGTGTATATGACTTGAGTACATTCATTGTGTGCACTTCTGTGTGTATATGTGCCTGTTTGTGTGTCTGGGCTTTTATGTGCTTATTTTGTGCACAGAGATTGAACAGGTGGGTGTGTGGTGTGTGTGTGTGTGTGTGTGTGTTTCTGTGATTGTGTGTGCGTGTGTTTGAGGGAGGTCCAATCTCCATCTCTCAGCAAATCAGCAACCCTGAAAATCCAATCTGCCTGGAGAGACA